CCCCTCGTTGTCCACCGAGGACAAGTGTAGGAAACTGAGACCCTGGAGCTTAATCCATCCCTCTTAGACTCTCAATCTGGTCCTCTGGTGGAAACGCCTCCTCTTCGCTTCAGATCCTCAATATCAGTGGTTTGGAACGATCAGAGGAATAGGGTTCCTGGGTACGATTCAGAAACGGACGGTTGTCCTCCGGCTGGATGGGTTCTCTGGCACTCATCAAAGCCAATGATTTCTCACCCTTTGGGGGGGGGTGTCATCAATCCCTTTGATGAAAGCCCCATGCCTCACCCTCTCCAGGAAAAAAAAATGCAAATAGATGCACATTTTAAAAACGCAAGTTCCCAATTATAACCATTGCCCCCCCCACTGGACTCACAGAACCTGAGGCTCTTCCACAGACTTTCTCGGGGTTCCCAGTTGATGGATAAGAACCCAAGATCCTGGATTGTCTACTTCAGTGGCCTTCAACCTTGGGTTCTCCAAAAGATTATTGGGCAAAAACTCCCAGAGGTCTTTCAACATTAGCTGTGCTGGCCAGAATTACACAATTAATACCTTGGGTTGTTAACAAGTAGGCAATAATAACTGTAGATCTTGAGATGAAAAAGTCCCCCACAAATCATGGTAGTACAGGGTGGGCTGCCCACCTCTCTATAACTCTAGTTGTCTATGGATGTTCACAAAAGACCATTGAGCATGTTTTAGCTATTCTTCAACACCCCCAATTAGCTCGTACTCAGTAGCGACTGCGCTTAAATCCACACAACTATATTCAACCTAATCGTCTGCTGAGGTATAACGTACAATTTTGGAACTTGTACCTTTGGGTTAACAAGACCTGCAAACCTACTTTGAATTGAGTAATTGGATTGCAACCTCTGAATTGAGTCTCTCAATTCAGATATACTCTCCTAGAGAAAGGAAGTCATGAAAGATCTAGGAGGAACTCTTAAGAGCATATATTGAAGTCAACCACTTTGGGGTGGGGCAACAAGGTTAAAACATGTCCTCGTTCTCAAAACGGGGCCCAAGCTCTCCAATAACCATGAATTAAGCCTTGACACAAAGCTGGTTTCAACAAGCTTCTCAATGACTGCCCCCCATAGTTGGATGCAGAATATGGAAATCTGCTTTTGAAAGGTAACAGGGCTCTCTGGAAAAGACAAGACGGGCAGGAGGGAAAGAGGAAGGCCATGTACGAGATGGACCGACTCCCCAAAGGAAGCCACTGGCTTGAGTTTGCAAGAACTGATCAGGGCGGTTGAGGCGAGGACATTGTAGACATCACTTATTCATGGGGTCACCAAAAGTGACTTGATGGCACACAGCAACCATAACACTGATGTGATGTTCTTTTTGTGGGACGAATGGGCTGACCTAATAGGGAATGCAAGAACAAGGGGAGGTGATGTTCAGCATGGGGTCGGCTACAAGGAGAGGGGTCTTAGTAGCCAGGGCTGTGGACGGCAGGCTCCCAAGACCCTAACGGCCCATCCCAGCCAACCCCTGAGGGCCAACGCACAGCTTTTGACTTTAAAATCATCCCCACAGCTCCAGAGTCAATCTGCCCCCCACCCCTCCCAGCGTCAACTTCAAAGAACACCCAGGGGCCAGAGCTGATTCATGTCAAACTGCTTTATTACATCTTAAATAACAGTACATTTTAATATAGTATCTATCTTGCATCCAGCTTTCTTGAAGTACACTGACTTTAAAATTAAATACAAAAGTGAAGGATACAAGGATGCGGAGAAAGCTCTACGGAGAAGAATCCCATGAGCCAGCGTCAACTTCAAAGAACACCCAGGGGCCAGAGCTGATTCATGTCAAACTGCTTTATTACATCTTAAATAACAGTACATTTTAATATAGTATCTATCTTGCATCCAGCTTTCTTGAAGTACACTGACTTTAAAATTAAATACAAAAGTGAAGGATACAAGGATGCGGAGAAAGCTCTACGGAGAAGAATCCCATGAGATGAGGGGATGCCAATTCCAGGCCTAAAAACGCACAATTACAGCACATTTTTGTACAGGATCTTGCAAAGAGAGAGAGAGAGAGAGAGAATATATATATATATATATCCCCAAATCCATTAAAAGCCATTGCCCGTAGCAAAGGAGAAGACATTCTGATACGGCGGATAAAGGGGACCAAAGTTTTGACCCAATATGATTTGCCATCTTGAACGGTCTTAAGGGTTCATCTCCCCACCCCACCTGCCTTTTCAATTTCCAAAAGACAAAGCCAGGGAAGGCCTGTTGGGTTATGAAAAAAAAACATCTAATCTGTTTAGCATGGCTCATTGGATAACAAGCCACCCGTCTACTGGGAATTTTCAAAGTGTTATTCCCCACCCCTTTCCCACTCCCATGGATCAAACCATCAATGTTTATTTGAACAGGCGGTTCCTTTTTTTTGTCTTTCTCGAAAATTAAGGATAGCTTCTTTACAGCACTACGCCGAAATGTGCATAGCTTGGCAACTTTTCATTCCTCCTTGTTTTTTGTTTTTTTCCTGGTTATGCACAGGGTAGCAACAATAAATGAGATCAGCAATGGTTATAGCTTTCTTTCGTTTTTTTTTTTTTAATGAAGAGGTTATTTCTTGAAAGAAAACACAGAGAAGGACGCATAAGTCTTATATGCACCTTAGCATTTCTACAGCATGCGATTCTAAAGAGTAATCCAACCCAGTATGGCAAACCAAAACAATTTTTTTCTCTTTCCATTGTTCATGTTTTTTTTTAACTTAGAAAGTTTGAAGATCATTATTTTCAAAAAAAAACATTGATTTTATACATTGTTTTTCATACACAAAGAATCGATGGAATAGCCAAGCGCTGGACAAGGGTCTCTTTTCCGACCTACCTCCACCCCCCACCCTCCCAAACCCCGAGAGAATCTTGCTTGTTGGTTGAGATTATGGGGTAGTGTTAGGCTATGAATGGCCCTCCATTGGGGCCATCAAAAATTCCAAACTATGCAAATAAATGGATCACAATTATTGTGAGGTGGGGTGGAGGGGGAGAAAAAAAACCTAAAGTTTGCATTTTGTTACCCATAAAAGGTGAAAGATTTTTTTTCTTAAACAAACATTCAATATCATGTACAGCGTGTGCTTGGTTATCTTACTTCTTAACATTATCCTATATATGCAATATTTGTGCAACCATTTGTGACACTAAGACTGAAATAATAATAATAATAATAATAAAAAGAATCTAGGGACTAAATTTACAGCATTAACAATCCCAGAGGTGACTGGGCTTGGACTCCCTTGTCTTGGCTCAACAATTGACTGAAAAAGCAAATTGCGTTTTTTAAAAAAAAAGAATAGAAAAGAAAGAAAATAGAAATGGAAATATGGACAAAACGTAGCTATCAATCCTGCTACAAACACGACTTCGAAGTTTGAAAGTGAGATTAAAACAAGGCCCTCCCACCCCCAACTCATAAAGTCAGTAAAACCAGATCAATGGTTTGCAATTTTTAAACTACAGTGAAAGTTAAATGTTGTATGCTTCATAATGTTTTTTTTTCTCTTTTGTTATTATTATTTTTTTGTCTGGACATGCTTACAACAAGTGTGGTTTTTTCTTTAGTTTTCTAGACGAAAAGTGGTCCCAAAAGGATCGCACAATTTTAACTTCTTTTGCTATTTTTTTGTATATAATGGCGGAATTTCTTCTTCTAGAGAAAATTGTGCTCTTCAGTTCGGCAACAGGAGACGTGAATGATCTCGCCCTTTGGTGGGTGGGTAGGAAGCGGGGTGGGGGGGAAGGAGAGGCGGGGATGTCCGAGTTAGTACAGTTGGATTCAATACATTATTTCAAACTTTCAATTGTTGGGAAAGTCTTCCAGTCAGTGTGGACTCCACTGCTATTCTAACACAGAAAACACACAGGAGGGTTTTGTTAAGCCTTAAGACCATTGTGATGCGCTGCCAACTTTTAATGCTCATTTCCCTCCTCCTTAGGTATGGCTAACCTGGGTAACAGTGGTCCTACTATGCCCTCCGCCCCCAATTCTCGAGATAGCAAATCCATCAGTCACTCCATTGCCTGTCAAAGATCAGTCTCAAGACAGGATGAGACTTGGTACTGTGACCTGAAATGCTCTCAAAGATCAATACAGGAGAAGCCTTGAGAAGCTCTCTGCAAGGAGATAGCGATGTGGAATGGCTGATGTGGATTAATTTTTTTAGGGTGGACACCGAGCTGGTGCTGCATCAAACACAAGAACCAAAGTATGTTAAAGGTGGGGGAGCAAGACAGGGCAAGGCCATCAGTGTGGCATGAATATTGAATGGTGTAAATTGTCCCACCCACTGAATCAACACAACGTGTGTTAATTGATCAGGATCCACGGATGCGATCTATTCCGTTTGGGGCTACAACTGGGCTTAAACCGAGGAACATGAATTGCAGCCCTTCTGGATGAGTACTAAAACCTGATGGATCCATTTTGTCGACATCCTATTTTCTTGCACTGCCCCCCCCAGGGGTGCCAAAAAGGTATACGACCTCTGATGATGCTGGAGGATCTAAATAACCAAGAGAACTAACATCCCTCAAGAGCCTTTAACCCTACATCCAAATCATGCAAGTTTACGGAGAGGCACTGGCTGTGGATGAGAGACCTCTGAACACCCAACCCCCACTATACAGGGATGCGGTTAAAAACAGTGTCCCCTTCACTGGCCCTCACTATTCCTGGCTAGGTGTCAATTTCCCTGTCCCGCTCCATGCCGTTGCTAACTAGGGTTTTTCTTTAATCAAGGGACACAGAAATACATGCACATCTTTCCACCCCACCCGCCTTTTTTATTTTTAAAAAAATACCTAGAGAGACTTTAGTTCCAGATCTTGAGGAAGCTATCCCAGGATCCTGTTGCCACTGCCATGCCATCATCAGTTACGCCTAAGCAACTGACGCGGTTATCATGGCCAGCGAGGACACCTAGAAATTGAAGAGGGAGAGAGGGAGAGAGAGATGGGAGAAACACAAACTTCAGATGTGACAGGTATCCAAGTATCATGATTGTGTGGAGTAAGAACCACAGTGTAAACCCAACTCTCGGCTTCGTGGGTTGTTGACTGGGCTTCTATAGTTTAGGTTCTTCTTTGGAAGTGATGCCATGGGATGCATATTTTAAGCAGGCTCCCTCCGTTGCTCTAAGGCTAGAAGTCCTTAAGCATTAAAGCGGCTCAATGAGTTTGCAACAAGCCTCCCCACGTGTACATGTTGGCGAGGGAAAGAGGCGTCCTTGCGGGTACAACTCTCGTTACTTATCAGACCTGTCCTGGATTATTTATTTATTCGATTTATAATGCAAGAGTTCTCCGACTGCGAAGCTCCAGAGATACATCCACGAGAGCCCTGGGCTGAACAAGCTCTGTGGTTTCGATCTCCAGCTGTGGAGCCAGAGGTTGGGAGTCTGATGTCCCACAAGGCCTCTTTGACAGGGACTGGATTTGATGATCCATTGGGTCCCTCTTCCAGATCTACAGGTCTAAGGTGATGATGATGAAACGGTGGCAGTCAGTCAACTATTAGGCACTGGACACATTGAATATCCAGCCAATTCAGCCATCCACATATGTTGTAGGAGGGTTGCATTGAGTAGGTTTAAAAATCTCAGCATGACTAGCAATCCTGTCTGGGCCAAACCTTTCAACAACATCACCTGAGACTTTCCATATGAAAAGTGCCTGTTGTGACTGAAATACTGCTTTGGTGAACAAGCTGCCAGAGCTATGCAAAGGTGAAGGAAGGTTCCAGGTTGAGTCCGCAGCACCTGGGCTGCAAGGAGAGATATTCCTGTACCACCTGAGGAGCTATCGAAGCCCAGAAGCCCAAGGAGCTGTTTAGTACCTCAGGACATTTCTGCTGGTGCCACAAAATCAAGTCCAATGATGTGGCAGGGTTTCTCTCCTCCCCCCCCCCGTACACATGAAGAGTCAATGGCTGATGTGTTTACAATGAATGAGAGGAAGAATACAGTGTTACCTTTGAACACGGTACGCTAACGCCTACTCAGGAAATCTTGGAGCTAGGAAATTATTAGTGATCAAAAGAGGTCTGGTTCTGGCGATATAGTGGGCAAGCCATCAATTTTCTTTTCAACTCAGGACGACTCAAACTTAATCCACCTTCTGCAACCGTCCTTGAACGGAATGCATGCGGCTGATTTTGTACAAGAAATGGCTTTTGCGTTCTGATTTAACAAAACAAGACTGCAATTGCACACTTACTATCCCGTCCCCATGAAATGAGTTAGAGGTTCATGAAGATGCCACCTCTGCTTTACCTGTTCGCAAGGATTTGGGGGGGGGGGGAGAACTTGAATTGCAGGACTTGCGGTCAAGTCGCACTTAAGTCACACCAGTGACTCTAACTTGGGTTTGTTTTTTTGCAATGACTCGGACCCCACCCGTCCCTCCCTTTTTTTCTAGGGGGAAAAAAAGCTTGTTTTCTATAGGGACTCAAGCTTGGAGCTTGGGATTCAGTACCAAAGATTTAATGCCTTTGTAAATTTTGTTTCCGCATTTTCTGAAATAGTAGTACCTTACATAGATATATAATAACAGGTATCGGAACTTCAGCTATAGCTGCATCATTTCTGGGAGCACAGAACTTCAGACCACCGTGGCTACCCCGTAACTATCTTTGCAAATTCTTCTGAAGTCATGGGCCGTACACGTTTTAGGCGCGTCTTTAACGATAAGCACATTATGATAGATGGTATATAGAGAAGATTTCACTAACATGGATGGTAATTTTAGAAGAGGTCGCCGTGTTAGACTTGGGATTGTTTTTTTGCAATGACTCAGACCCCACCCGTCCCAGCTGTATTTTAATGTGAGCTTTTGCGGACACTATAGGGACTCAAGCTTGGAGCTTGGGATTCAGTACCAAAGATTTAATGCCTTTGTAAATTTTGTTTCCGCATTTTCTGAAATAGTAGTACCTTACATAGATATATAATAACAGGTATCGGAACTTCAGCTATAGCTGCATCATTTCTGGGAGCACAGAACTTCAGACCACCGTGGCTACCCCGTAACTATCTTTGCAAATTCTTCTGAAGTCATGGGCCGTACACGTTTTAGGCGCGTCTTTAACGATAAGCACATTATGATAGATGGTATATAGAGAAGATTTCACTAACATGGATGGTAATTTTAGAAGAGGTCGCCGTGTTAGTCTGTGCCAGCATCTCAGGCAAAAACAGAAGAAAAATAAAAAAAATTAAGAAGACAAAAATGCCGTGGCACCTTAAAGACGAACGGCTGTATTTTAATGTGAGCTTTTGCGGACACGTCCACGAAAGCTCACATCAAAATATGGCAGTCAGTCTTTCGCGAATACATTGTCAAAACACTGTCGTCGTCTTTACTTTAGGCCATAAAATGAACAGCGACAAATTGTTGCTTAACATTTCCGTAACAGCCCCCAGTGTAATGCCCAAAAAAATATAGACCAGGTTTAAGAATGTAGGTGCAGACTTTACGATGAGCTCCTTGCCTGAATCATCCTGAGGATATTTCACCTAATTAAGATTAAACAGGCAACCCAGCTACATCTAAGTGGCCTGTCGTGGGTTGAAAACAGAACAGGCAAGCACAGGTAGATCGCTTCTCCAATAAAAAGATGGCAAACAAGTCTAAGACTGGTCGCCAGGAAGAAGAAAGGCCAACTCCTAAATAATGGAGCACTATTCTAAGACTGGTCGCCAGGAAGAAGGAAGGCCAACTCCTAAATAATGGAGCACTATACTATGCAAACACGGCTATGTACTGTAAGATATTGGTTCCTTATGCCCACCCTCTTAAAGAGTTAAAAGCACGCCCTTTTCCTTAACAGGAGTACGGCTGCTTTTCCATGCCCTCTCCCAAGATACGTAAGATATATTTAATCAAGGCCTGAAGTGCAACACCTCCACTCCCACGCTCAGTAACTGAAGTGCAGGCTAGAGAAATGAAAAATAACTTGAAAGCCAAGCTCAACCACTGGCCGAAATCACACAGTTGCAACTCTTCGGAGACTGTAACTCTTCATATGTCAGCTGGGGCTATCATGTTAAAAAAACCTATCTAGCATCTAGAATTGTCTTTATGGGGCAAGTAACAATATTAAAAAAAAACCAAGGAAGCAAAGAAAATGAAGCAGTAGTTTAAATTATGCAAAACTAACACCTAGAGTCCATGTTTATTGCTGGTTGCTGCTTCCATGTGTAAGAAGTATACGTCCTTTTGAGACACAGCACATAGTACTATGGGTGCTGTGTATGTAGAAGGTGATGGGGGCAAGGTCTGATGAAAGCTGGAGAAAGCTGGGATGCTGTTCCTGGACTTAAAGCCCCCGCCTTCCGAAATTCACACACACACACATAACAAGCTCTGCTTGTGATGCTCCATCCTCCCTTTGAGCTCTTATTGTTTGCTTGCTTGGTGTGCACACACACGCACATACTATTTTTAGCCCAAACGCTGCTAAAAGCGTACCTGCTCTGTCCGCTTTGAGTGTGTCCCACACATTGCAGTTGAAGTCGTCGTAGCCGGCGAGGAGGAGGCGCCCGCTCTTGGAGAAAGCTACGGAGGTGATGCCACAGATGATGTTGTCATGGGAATAAACCATCAGCTCCTGGTCGGCACGGAGATCAAAAAGCCGGCAGGTGGCATCATCGGAGCCGGTGGCAAAGGCATTGCCGTTGGGGAAGAACTGGAGGGAAACAACAAGCACACATACATGGGTGCTATCGCACAGAGAAAGACGGGACCCAGCCCACCACAGACCTCAAGGGCAACTGGGAAGCTATTTCCTTCTCTGGTGAGAAAATCATCTCTAGAACGGCCAGGCATCCTCCATGGTGGAGGAACACAGATTCATTCTTTTTTTAAAAAAAAAACCACCCCCGTCTCCCCACAAGAAGAGTTACGTACACAGATGGCATTGATGTCTGACTCGTGGCCGGTGAAGGTCTGCCGGCACATCCCTTCTCGAACGTCCCACAGCTTCGCAGAGGCATCACAGGCACCAGAAACAAAACACTTGGAATCGGGAGCAAGGGACAAGCTCATGACATCCCCGGTGTGGCCGGTAAAGGTGGTTGTCTGTTGGCCTGTTTCTATGTCCCAAAGGGCGCTGGCAGGAAAAGGGTGCAATTTAATTTTTTTAAACGAAAAATAACCAAAAACATTTGAGAAAGAAATCATGAGAAAAGAGAAGAACGTTTATAAAACACTTGATGCCAGCGGTGGACAACCTGTAGACCCTCCCTAAGATGAGATCTAAACCTAATAAATCCACGGCAAAGACAAAATTCAGAAAAATATTCCCGTTTAACTTCTTGCTCACCAACTGTGGTACCGACTTCAGCCCTCCAGATAAACCCAAGGCAGAGTGATATTCAAAACTGATCTTTATGCAAATTTCCAGTTTGTATTATTATAGCGAATCCAACTGATCTGGGATGGACACAGACAGATCTAGATTTGATGCCCTGTTTTAAGTTCTATTAGCATCACCTCCCTGGTTCAAACACCAGGAAGTTTTTTAAAAAAAATCTATGCCAAATCTCTCCTGTCTCCCTAGTTAAAGCTTATCCATTAACAGCCCAGAAATAATATGCTTATTTGCCGGAGTTGCATTTTACAAGAGAACAGCAGCAACTTCACGTACAATTGGCGATAAATGCACCTGTCATTATTATAATTAAGGTTGCAAGAATGTTCTGCCATCTCTTGGCTTCCGAGCCAATGCGCGGTCTTACGGCCAACTGGTGCATTACCTCAGTGAAAACGTCAACGGCAGACAGGAAAGCTGATACTTTGCTGCATACGATGAAGCGGACTCCAGATTGAGTCATAACAAACACCTTAATATTTATGAGGTCAGAAGACACTGTTGTTTTTCTTCCTTACACAAAACAGCAGCAGTCTTTTGAGGAGCAACACAATTTCCTTGTCATTAAGCCTCTGTTTCACACTCAGACATGCAGATGAAAACAGTGTGGGTGGAAAGGAAAGGTTTGTGGGATTAAGGTCTCCAGTACGGTCCATTGCATCTTAAAGTTGATTCTGGATTTTCCTAAAGGGAAATACTGCAAAACCTGAGGACGCATCTAGACTAGAACCTCTCATTCCCCACTTGAAGGAAGCCCTACAGTATGATCAGTAAGCAGTCATATGTGGAAGAGTCTACGACTTCTGGAAGTACAGACCAAGCTTAGGTGCTCCTTAACCTTAGAAGTGCAGAGCTGGAAGGGACCTTGTGGATCATCAAGTTCAGCCCCTGACAAGGAGGCCTAGTGGGGAATCGAACTCCCAACCCCTGGTTCCACGACCAGATGCCTAAGCCACTGAGCTATCCAGCTGTTGAGACGGGAAATGCTGCAACCTCATTTAGACACCAAGGAATACTCTTATGCACAGGATCTCACCCAACACAGATTTAGACAGTCACAACATTAGCAAAAAGATTTCCTTAATTCTATTTAAGAACAAGGTGCTGTCGCTCTGCTCCTTACCAAGTTGTATCTCCAGAGCTGGTCACGATTTGATTATCGTCCACAAAACGGCAACATGACAAATAGCCTATTGAAAGGAAGAGGAAGAAGAGAGAGACATAGGTCACACAATAGACTTTGTGAATACCTACAGTTCCATATTTACTTTCCATGCTTACAGTCTTCATTATCAACTGCTGTCTTCAACAGCTAGATGGGGTGGGGATGGGGGTAACTGGTGGCTTTCTCAATGCTTTCTGGACTTCCACTTCCAGCATTCCTCAGTGCTGATTCTGCTGGCAAGGGCTGATGGGACCTGCACAGGTGGGTCACCCCTAAGCTAGACGGAGGTGTAGACCAGACCAAAGGGATGTCCTCTGTCTCTGTACATTTCAGGAAATGTGCATTTGCAGACTATAATACCATAATCCTGTTTCAAAGTCATTTCACAATTTACGATACAGAATGAAGGCCACACGGCTTGGCTAAGGCAAACCAGCCCGTTCTTCCTCATTCCCAGCATTCTCAACCAGCTCCGTAGTCTATGGATATTGTAACAGACCGATTCACCAGCACCAGAGATTATGAGTTTAGCAGATGATGGCTCTGTTTGCTTTATAAAAGGTGTCCCGGGTGGGCCACACAGCTAGCTTGTTCACCAGAAGCACAGATCTAGTTGCATCGCCCTCTATTTGCATCCATAAAGGCCAACCCCAAGATTTGCCTGCCTAAGCAAGAATATTTTCCAAGAATCTTCTGAGTCACACCCCTCACAGTCCTTGTGGCAATGTCTTGCTAACTATCTCTTTCCAGCCTCTGTGCTATGCAAAGATGCGATGACCCTAGCAGGAAATTTACCTCGAATTGCTTCAAAAGAAACACCATCCCTCTACTAAAAAAGAAAACAAAAAGACACACACAGCTCCACTTTTCTGCCTCATAAGGCAAAAAAGAACACTTTCCTTGTGGAACATCTCCCACCATTATGGCCATAAGAAAAGGTCAGTTTTAATGGAGCTTCAATACCTACAGGAGCATGCAATTCTTATGGGCTTGCTCAAAAGCCAGATTAGGTGTGGGTGCACCCCCCCCAAATGCACAACTCTGAAGGTGGCTTAACACATCTGCTCTTCATTACCTGGGAGTTATGAACATTTTCGACTTACTGGGCTATAAATAACTCTTCACTGCTGAGTAACCTCAGTTCCCCTCTGCGCGCCGTTCATAGAAGGCTCCCTTTAGTCTGTATCAGGGAGGCCTGGCAGCCGCGAGAGCCAGCACGACACAGGGCCCCCCTAAGGTCTCCTCTTAAGAATTGTTAAAAGGTTTTTCCGGAGCCAAGCTGGTCCCCTCTGGAGGAAGAGGTTTTCTGCACTTGGGCACACCTAGAAATCTGATCCTTTTACAGAAGCATAAAGACCCTGCCGAGGATGCAGCCTGGTTCTAGGGAGAAATGGGGCAACCTGGTGTAGCTCACTGGATATATTGCAACCCATCTCAGGAGCAAATGGGAGCTTTCAGAAGCTCTGAAGCCCACACGATGGTGCTCCCCTGTTGACAACGAGGGCGCCCTGAGGAACACAACGCCCCCTCTCCCGGCTACTTGCTCTCCAATCCGAGGGCTGTGCTAAGTCTTACATCAAGGCCAGTGGGCCCAACGAATCTGCAAGACCGGCTCATTTCCTTCATACTTTGGCCTTTCAAGGTGATTCAACAACTGCTCCATTTTCTAGACACTTCTGGAAATCACAGGCCAGCTGTAGGACACAAATTTCTAGCAGATCCCTTTTTAGGCCCTCTCAACAAATTATGATTCTCATGACTCCTGGTGGGAAAGGCATGATTAAGCAAAGTAACTCTAGAGTGTGGATGCCGTAGAGTCGGACCAGATTGTTCTATATCCACAACTCCTTAAAATCTATAGCAGCCTTAACCTTTGATGAGTGCTTCAGCAGCTCTGATCAGATGAATCACATACTATTGATTTAAAAACTGGTAGAAGAAACACTCAGGTTTTCTGGCCAATTTTTTAAAAAAGAGCCACAATTTGATCATGTTATTGGCCTAAAAAGAAAAACCCCATGTTCACGCTTATGTTGATCTCCTAACATTTACCTTCGATACAGCGAAGAATAGCCTAAGTTTTCTTCCACGCCCACTATGGCACGCATACCAACAGAAAAACTGATGGACCACTTGTGTTCCTATGCAAATCATCTAGCATCAAAGGCTATTTGTACGCGTGCGATGGAACACCTGTGTTCCTGGACCAAACATCCCGAAACTTCCCCCCTCCCCAAGAAATCACAGAATGGGAGAGGAGACGCCCTGTGCTTAATGGCACCAAACCGCACTCACCTGTGTGGCCGGCCAATTCGCGGCTGACACGCACGTTGCCTTCGCGTGTTTTCAGGTTGTAAATGGAGCAAATGTTATCCAGGCCACCACAGGCCACGTAGTTTCCAGAGGGAGCATATGCACAGGTCATGACCCAAGATGAGCGCAGAGGAATGGCGTGGACCTAGAATCAGAAGGGAGGCTGGTCAGTGAGCCATTGTGTCCAGCTTCTGGCCTGAAACGGCCCTACTGTGGGGCCAAAAGGGAGAGAAGAGGAATCGCGCAAACCCCTGATCTGCAGGGCAGCAAGCCATCATGGAGCGTCCATGTGTATCTCCACACTGATGCATCAGACACTGCGTAGGGAATGAGACATCGGCAGCAATGAAAAGCTTTTCTACTTTCTTCTGCTTTCCCTTGGGCAGCTCTCCGGAATATTTACCGACCAAAAACCACCTCCCCGTTCATGCCTGTATTCCATTTCTCCGTCTCTCACCCGTTTACAACTTCCAATTCTGAAACCATGACTTTTAATTTCAAGAGGTGTTTTACACAGGTGGGCGCTAAGCCCTTCCGCATGTTACACCCACCTCTTTAGAATCTGGATCTGTGTCATGTGCAAATACAGCCAAGATGCAAAGTCTTGTCTCAAGCTATGTATCTGGGCTAGTTTCTCACTACAGAAGTTCAAACCAGAAGCAAGACTTAGCCTCGCTCGGCTTTATGAGGGAAAAGAAAAAAAAAACACTCAGCCAAATTTCAACCCCACCCTGTTCCTCCAAATGACACCCCTTGTAACAAAGCGAAAGAATACTGCATCCAAACGACTCTTTTATAAAGTTTCCCTTTTGCTGGTTTCCCCTCCCCAACTCCTTCCAGCCAAGTTAGAATTAAGCAGCTGAACCCTCCTTATTGCCTTTACCTTGTTTGTGGTATAGCTGTCCCAGATGATCAACTTGCCGTCCTGTGATGCACTAACGAGAAGCCTGGAGGGAAGTGGCACAAAGGTGAACAACACGTCCATCAGAAATGCAGGAAGACAAATGCCAACCTTCAGCAAAGAGATTCTGTTCTTCATCAGGAGCGGTTTGCACACTATAGCTTTGTTTGCGGAGCACACTAGGCGTGCAAAATGCTTCATTGCCTTTATCAGAATCTTGTCCACACAACCTTTTTAGCCTGCTCAGGTGTTAAGAGGTTACCAGGGAAGGCCATCTCTTGGTCCCACCACCTTCCCAGGTGCATTTGGTGGGGACAAAAGAAAGAGCCTTCTGTATTGCTGCTCCTAGACTCTGAAACTCACTCCCACTGGATGCCAGGCTGGTCCCCTTTGCTGTCCTTCCACAAGCAGGCAAAGACCTTTCTCTTCAAGCGGGCTTTTCCTGAGTGAATGGCTGCCTGAATAGGGTTTATAAATGGATTGTTATGCATTACCACTTGGACTGTGTTTTTAGTATTGCTTGTGTTTACTATTTCTCAGAGTGCTGTTAGTTTGATCCTTTTTCGTATTTGTATACTCATTGTTTTCGCTTCTGATATCACCTTCTAATTCTGTAATCCATCTTGGGTTCTTTTTAAAGAGAAAGGCGTGATAATTTTCAACAAACTAACAAACAAATCCTGAGGGGAAACTGGGACAGTGATCTGCTCAAATCTGCCTATTTATCGAATGGTGTCAAGACCTCCATCCTCACAGACTGGATTTGGACAATCCTCTCATACGGAACTCCTTTCCTGTTCCAGCATCATGCAAATGATTTATTTTAAAAAACACACACACACAAGGAAACCAGTTATCCTAGCCGCTCACTCATTATATATGAAGTGGGAGCTACAGTAAACAGCTACCAAAAACACATGTATTTGCAAGGGAATTGTAAACCATGGGGCTGAGTGAGGAAATATAAAAACTGTGCAAAGACTAGCTTATTATATCATGCAGGGATTGCCTGAACTGAGCTACTCAACTCTTCCAGAACAAGGAATACTGAAGGACTGTGCTCACCATAAACAAAATCCAACTGAAAATTAACTAACTTCCACTTTCAAACCGGACAGGGTCATCGAAGCTACCAACATGAATTTGACCAAATTATGGGAGGCAGTGGAAGACAAAAGGGCCTGGTGTCCTCTGGTCCATGAGGTCACAAAGAGTTGGACATGACTTAACGACGAAGCAACAACAACTTTCACACCCTACCCTACCCTCCCTTTTCTATTCTGAATGATACAAATACTGTATTGAGGGTTCAGTAAAATGCTTAAGAGTACTGCAGATTATTTTACTTGCATAACCAAGCTCAACTGAATTAGTAAGATTGCCTTCATTAAAAGCATTCCCAACAGAGTTTGACTGATTCTATCACTATTTGCTCTGAGCAGGCAAATCAATAAAATTTAAATAAAAGGACGGGGGGGGGGACCCAATATTTATATGAACTATTATGAGAAGACAAATTGTGGCAGCAAATGATAAATCTATATTCTCCCTGTTCACTAGAAAGTCTGCATCTTTGAGCAGCTAGAAGTGTTAGGGACTCAGAAAGGACATTTGAAAACAATTTCAGAAGAGTCACTAAATCTTTATTCTATCTTTAGTTCTCCTGAATTCCTGTAGGGC